CAAATTATACACATGTATTTTAAAACAGTTAATAGAAACTAAAATCGCAAGTCTGACTAGCAGCATCAAGTCCTTTTATTACTTCACTTACCTAAAAGAGCAGCAAAAATAGGAAAGCGATTTGGATTCAGGTCCAGTTGCTTGGCAACTTCATGCATTAGGTATTGGCTTGTTGTGAGACTTTTCCCATTACGGCTCAGTTTTAGGGCATGGGCACTGAAATAGTAAGGGATGTTGCACAATGCATAATCGGAGTCATATGCAACCAAACCATGGAAACCTTTTTCTCTGCAGAAAGCAATTACTTCTTGATGGTGATCCTCAATGCTCTGTGCAACCTATAGTGGAAGACAGAGTAATTAGCTACAGTGTTAAATTTCAGTACTGATTTATCACATGTATTACGATATATTGGGTCTTTCTGAAACTATATACGTGCATTTGAAACACTTGCAGTATATTTAAAGTCATTTTAAAAATCCAGTGACACAGTACATACGAACAGGATGTAAGGAACGCTCAGAAACACAATACAAAGCTCTCGAAAGCCTAGACACAGGAGTGGCATTACATATTGCTGAACTCATCTGAAGTAACTGTTTATTAACAGAAGCACTCAAACTCTAAACATATTACTATACCAATGTCTGTATTGACTCACAGGAAAAATCTTAAGGCTGTGGATACTTAAGCAGTTCAGCAAGCCAAGATGCCCCCTTAAAAAGCAATCGCAGGAGCACTTTTAAAGTTTTGCAGCCCTGTTTTAAAAGAAACAAATATAACCCTAGATAAACAGAGGTAACTTTCTTGACCTTTCAAATGTCTACCTTGCTGTGTTAAGCCAAATTTTTCCCTCTTTCCACTTTCAGCCTATTCATTTATGCACAGCTGTCTCTGATGGTGCAAACTGAAGTTTATAGCCCAAACTTCACCTCTCAACTCACGTTGCCTAGCAAAGCACATATTTTAGGCTATGGCAATCAGATGACTAGAACAGACATGTTGTGTAGGGGAGATATGGGCCAATTCCTAATGCTAGAAATATAAAAGCAACCCTTTCTTACCAAGAAGAATATACTAAAACAAAAAAAACCTACAATGACAGGTTAGTACGTACGGTCCTGCGTTTCTATGCACCATCAGGAACCATTACAACTACAGCTTGCATACAAGCACACAAAAATAAAGCGAGCTGAGTGCTTTTGACGTCTAATGCTTTTACCTTCTACACACATAATAAACACTTGGTGATTCAGAAAATCCCACAGAGGTCAGGTGCTGGGATAACCTTCCCTCGCCAAGTATTCAATTTTAACAATGCTGATAGCAAGCTATCCCAAAATAGACTAGTAAAAAACTATTAGCTTCAGTCTCTACAGTACGCATGAATAACTACAGCATTAGTGCCAGTGATGCTATTTATTTCCTCTGCAGCCAAAGCCCTGCAGAACACGAGCGAGGGTCCTACACCTCCACAGCCCGCTCCAACAGTCACGCAGTCATCCACCTCTCAGCAAAGGTTTTGTTCAACAGCAAGTTTACAGTGACCCTTCCTTTTCTACTCACGCCTTACGCTTTCTGAACCTGACACTGAATTACAGTCTTCCAGTGAGGTATGTAAAATTTTGCTTTTCCCATGTAGGTGCACGAGATGTTCCCCTTCAAGCAAAATTGTGAGCAGCTGAACAGCTGGCACCTCACTCTCAGATATTCCTATGATCAATAACTAGCTGTCTAAGCTCTCCCTATTCCAAATGCTATCATCTTACAGTCTTAAGAAAATGTTACTTCTTCAGAAACATGCTTGATGGACTGTATCAGAGTGTTTTTGAAATTTACTTTTGCTTGTGAGAAAAAAGAGCATATTCATTTTTCTAATAATTATTCCTAGCATAACGTGTGCCTGCTGTACACAGAATTGGAAGAGACTGTAAGCATCTTTAGTAAAATTTAAAGATATCAGATTTATACACTTACTAACTCAGGGAGGGCAATTTAGGCTTTGCCACCTCCACCCCCGAGTCTTTACATGTTTTAAATTAGAAAAATCCCAGAGATTTTTTTTTTAAGGGTAGATAGATTTAAATAACGTACATAAATCTAAAATCAACATCTTTGCATGCACGACAACCACTGATCATCTATAAAAAACAAAGTAAGAACTCTTTTTGCAGCACTAGGTGTGACATGGGTGTGCAGATAATACAAGAGGAAGCAGTGTGCAGCCCACTCTGATCTCCTATAAACTATTTCCTCCGCAGCCTCCAGGTCCCTCCCTCCCCACTTTATAGACCTATCTGACACAGCAACCTACAAGCATGAAACTGCAGTATGTTTAGGTAATACTAGAATCCACATTCAAATAATTGCACTGTCACAGGAGAAAGAGCTGTATTTACCAAGGTACAGTTAACCCGCAACATAAAACTCTTAACAAGATGAGAGTCACAGAAATAGCTTTCAGCTCTCACAGGAGGAAAGACTCCGAAAAGGCAACTATACCCAGGCAACATGCATGCTTCAAAATCAACCCAGGGAGGGGGGGGCACGGGTGAAATGACAGCCAGGAGTTTGGAATAATTTTCAAGTCTAAATCTTGTGTAAATATTAACAGTGCTGGATCAGAAAAGAGAGAATCTTGTCCGTGTAAACAGGCACATGCACGTTTAGATACTGAGAACAAAACAAAATCTCACCAAAGTATTAAAGATGTTAAGATCTCCACTGCTTAAATATTTAATTTTAGCAAACCTGCTTTGCATAAAAGCTTCTTTTAAGAATTATTTCCCCCTCCCCTAAAGAGAAAAATACCAGGTCACAATTAAGCTAAGAACCCGTAGGATATTTGTTATAACTTGGAGGAACCTGTTATTTTTACATCCTGCTGA